ACTGAGTGTTTGAGCCAAAATACAGATGTCAAAGCTTTAACTCCCAATGTGATGGTATTAAGAAGTGGGCTGTGAAGAGGTAATTATGTTTAGATGAGATCATAAGAAGCCCTAGGATCCAACTAGTGCCCTTATAAGAAACACAGCATCTCCCCTCCTGTCTCTCTCTCTCTCACGCGCGCTCTCTCTCTCTCTCTCTCCCCCCCTCGCTCTCTACTTTTCTCCTTCCTTCCAAATTGGAAAGATAGCCCTCACCAAGAACTGACTTTGCCAAATTTGCAGGCACCTTAATATTGTACTTCCTAGCCTCCAGAACTGCAAGAAATAATTGTCTTTTGTTTAAGCCACCCGCTCAGTGATATTTGTTAGAGCAGGATGAGCAAAGAGAGAAGCGTTGCCAAAAGAAAGAGTTCTAAAAGAGGCTGAAGCAAAAATATGATGCAGAGTGTGTCATGGATAAAAACCTTTTCAAAAACAGTTAATTGTGGAAATTTCTTAAAATTCATGAAATGAGAGAATATAATGGTCAGTTATGTGTTCATAGCCAACTTTAAACAATTATCAACATTCTGCCATCTTATTACATGTTTCTCCATTTACTTTTTCTTTTAGCTTTGTTTTATTTGGTAGAATATTTTAAAAGCAAAATCAAGATGTACCATTTTATCCATAAATATTTTTGTACCTCTAAGAGGTGAAGACATTTTTAAACAACATAATCATGATAACTTTATTATATCCTATAAAATTGACAACAAATTCTTAAGCCAATGTCTAGTCCAGGAAAAACTTAACATTATGAGAGTGTAGTCTAATGGATCAAGTTCTCAAAGTGATAGTCTTTCACTAAGTCTAAGAATTTTTTTAAAGGAGGAAAATTTCAAAACTAAAAATTGCAATCTCATTTTTTTTTCTTGTCTTGCTTTGCAAATACAAATCTGGGCACTCAGATTCTAGAAGAGGATAAAAATAGGCTGTGAATCAAAACCATTAATCATATCTGGTTATTTTTAGTTATCTGCTTCTTCCTGAAATTTTAGCTCTGCATCAGTTTAATATATTTGATCATATTTTTTCAGGGGAAGGATATTTTAGATCAATCATGGAAAATTTTGACCAAAAGATAAATTTAAAGCTAACGTACAGTGGCTGTGTCACAGCCCATATCTATGCCCTTACATGAGGTACTTACTTAGTAACTTGGAAAGTCCTGAGTTAATAGTCTGTCCCATGACTAAACTATCTGCCATAGAGATAGTACAAAAAATTCTCACCTAGAAATGTAAAAACTGAAAAAAAAAATACATGACAGGTAGGCAACAGATCACATTACCTGCATATTAAAAAATAGACATTTATAACAGAAATTGGAAAGAATATTTGGCTTTGGATGAACTTAAAAATACCAGTGTTTGTATTTTCACTGGAATGTTTAGAAGGACCCTTACATACACAACAGGTACTCAATGGTATTTGTTGACTGGATTTCATGTTGGAACTAAAATATTCCTATATAGCAACCATTAAATTCCTGATTATGTAAAATGCAATGAATATGTGTTATTCTACATCCCGGAACTAGGAAGAAAACCTTCCCTCCTCATACACATATTTGTTCTGCATTCAGTGCATTATTTGCTACTACAAGTCTGTACTACAAGTCAGAATTTGTATTAGCTTCCTAGCACTGGGACAAAATAACTGAGACAAAAACTTATAAGGAGGAAGGTTTATTTTGGCTCATGGTTTCTATGGTCAAGTAGCCCTGTCACTTCTGTTCTGTGGTGAGGGAGAACATCATGGCAGGAGCACATGCCAGAGGAAGCTACTCACCTTATGGCAGTCGGAAAGGAAAAGGAGAGACAAAGAAGAAGGGCTGGAGTCCCAATTTCTCCTTCACGGACATACCCACAGTGACCTAACTTCCTCTCACTAAGCCCCACCTCCTAAAGGTTCCACCGCCTACCAGCACCACTACAAGCTGGTGACCAGGATTCATGCAGCATTTGTATTCATTTGAGTGGAGACATGCACATCCCTACTCCACCACCATTCCTGACTTCCAGTGACACAAGAGGACTGTCCATAGATAGGTGATGATGGGAGCATTTTCTTTACAGAAAGGCACTTACCAACCTTTGTTTATACATCAGGGAACCACTAACTCTTCCAGATGGACAGGCTACTTAATAAAGTTGCCATACCTCTCCAACAATTTTTATTGCACCCTTTCCTGGCCTGAAATTCTTCAGACCTAAGCACAGTTGATGTTATCATGTATGCTCCTAATCACATATTAACTTATGTACAAAAACATTCTGTCAGCCCACATATTTTTCTACAGGTACAATATCACTCCCAACAACAATGGCATGAATAAAGCAGTATCACTGGACTCTCTATGAAGCCTTCAGCTGTACTTTACAGGAAGGATAATATGGCAAATAAATTCACATTATTTAGAATCAAAAACAGACAAACCACGGGGCCAAAGATTTAGCTCAGTGGTACCATGCCTACCTTGCAAGTGCAAGGTCGTGAGTTTGATCCCTGGTACAAAAAATAAAAGAAAAAATTTTAATAGGGGCTAGAGATGTGCCTCAGTGGTAGCGTGTTTCCCTATCAGGTAAAGCCCTGGGCTCAATTCCTAGAACCATCAAGAGTAAAATAACAACAAAGGTTCTCAAGACCATCTGAAATTTTTATTAGAAACTCTAGAGGGTGGTAGCAGAGAAGCGGTACTCTTAACATTTCCTTGGGTATTTTTTCTTTTGGCCAACACCAGAAGTGTGTGAGAATCACTGCCCACAGTGCCTAGAATGGCTCTCTACCTGCAGTAATTCTATATAAATGTTTGATGAATGAATAAATGAGTCAAAACCAGAAATTAGCAACTCAATGAGCTGTGGCCACACCCAAGGTCTATGGGTCCACGTATCTTTAAAGCATCTTGCAAACTGCGTCATCTGGCCTAGAGAACTGCTAGCTCAAGTCTGGTCTGTGTTGCCTCACTCCGTTTCATTCCTGAGCTCCCAGGAATAATTGCACTCTGCTGAGAAATGGTGAGAAGGAAAATTCTGCTTTTATTTATTGCTTGACTTGTAAAGTAAGGAGAGTGAGACCAAAACCCTAGCCACACATAAATATGTACTGACATTCAATACAGCATTAAAATAATTACCTGGGAGGTCTTTAGCTATAAAGTCTCCAGCACTTGAGGTTCCTACACAAGTAAATGAAAACCCATCTCAGTATAAACAATAAAACAAAACTTAAACTTTATCAATCAGAAGACACTTACTCTAACTAGAGACTTTTCCAATCAAAAGCTGCCAATTAAGCATTTCCACTCTATCCAATCAAATATTCTTTGTCTTGCTTATTTGAATACATTACAGAAGTTTTTCCCTTGCATCCCCTCTGTGGAACACTATACTACTTGTGGTCTGGTGCTACAGGATTCATGAATTACTGAATGTTCAAATAAACTCATTAAATTTTGATGTGCCTGATTATCTTTTAACAATAGTAGCTGAACTGAAAATAGATCTATCATATGATTAAGCTGTCCCACTTCTACGTATAAATCCAAAGGAAATGCAATCAGCACACCAAAGAAACACCGGTATGCCCTTATTTACTGAGGCATTATTCACCTTAGTCAAGAAATACAATCAACCTAGGTGCCTATCAAGGGATGAATGGATAAAGCAAATGTGTGCATACACACACACACACACACACACACACACACACAGAGGAATATTATTTAGCCACAAAGAACAATGAAACCCTATTATTTTTGAGAAAATGGATGGAACTGGAGGACATCATGTTAAGTCAAATAAGCCAAGAGATAGAAAGGCAAATACTACATGTTCCCTCTCCATGTAGGAGTGGGGAAAAATAGTTGGCTCAGATGTAGAATAGTGATTACTAGAGTTTGGGAAAGATTGGAGAAGGGAAGCTGTGGATAAAAAGAGGCTGGATAACAGATAACAAAAACAGACAAAAAAGTAAGCTGTGGTGTTCCACAGTGCAGACAGATGACTACAGTTCACAACCACTACAAATATGATGAAGATCCAGAGAGAGGACCTCAGAGGCTCCCAATGAAGAGATGATAAGGTGAGGGAAATGCTCACTACTGTGATCTATCTAATCATGCTGCCTGTATGGGTTGAAATGTCACACTAAATCCATTAATATGTATAATTACATGATAATAGAATTTTAAAAATTAAAACAATAACTACTTATTGACTACCCCATACTTTATATATGCCAGGCACAGTAGAGGATACAAACTGATCTAAAAACCAGCTAACCGTCATATATTGGCAGAATTTGGATTTGAACTTTTTATTTTTGACTTCAGAATCCAAGCTATCGCCACTAACATACAATACATGCAATGGAGGTCACTGTCTATTCAATATCCCCCAAGAAGCACTAGGTGCCGGCATATATGCAGATCATACATGGTCTGTCTTTATGCAGCTTCTAGTTTTAGTGTGAAGGCAGACATTTGGTGATGAGCGCAATAAGTAATATGGAGGAAAACTGCAAGATTCTGTATTACATGGGAGCCTGCAACCAGCAACCTACCTTTGTCTGTTAAAGACAAGATTGTCCAGACATTCTTTTTTTTGGTACTGGGGATCGAACTCAGGTCCTTCTGCTTGTGAGGCAGGTGGCGGAACCACTGAGCTAAATCCTCGTCCCTGTCCAGACATTCTTAATGATGGTAAGACAGGCCATGGTGATAGGTGTAGGGATGATGACACTGTGGTCTCATAGTGTGGCAGAGAGACTGAACTTTGCTCTGATTCCAACAGTGAAAAGTGGAGATTTATAAGCAGAGAGTTGGTGGCTCTCTCACTTAGAACACTTAATTCTCAGGCTGATAACAACTTTCGACATTATAAAGGCATGAGCATCAGCCAAGGACTATACTAGCTTGTTAACAAAATGTTAAATTTGATACTTATGATACTTACAAAGGAGTTTTAGAAGGCTTGCCTTTTGAAATCACCATTGCAAGAATAACTGGTTTCTTAGGATGACAATGAGAAGTTTCTGTGGAAATAAAAACAATTTGAGGAAATTGGCTATACTTATTTCTCTCCAGCCTAATTGCAGCATTCAAATTCCCTTTGACTAGCCATTGAGTTATCATTAGAGCCTCCTACCAGAGCTGCTCCTATATCCAGGCAAACCACTCTGCATATTTCAGCTAAATAAATGTTTTAAACAGTAACTATTGATATCTTCAGCAACTAGCACATTGCTTAATACACAGTTCAAACCCAGCTAATGCCTGTTGGAAAACAAACAAGTAGACAAACAAAAGGACTAAAGAATAATGCACATTGGGCTGTGCTTCATATGTGATATCAGTAAAATGCACTAATTTTGCTTAGCCTACATAAGATCCTAGTTAAGCCATCCACATGCTCCTATCACACCTGCGACAAAATGCAAACTATGTTTATGAGTCTTTGGAATCTGGTTTCTGATCACCTTTGAAGTTTTGCTTTTTTGCCCCTTTCCCTCTTCTACAAGCCAAAGAGCTATCTAGGTACTTTAAAAGTCCTCAAACATGTCATGGTCTCTTTGGGTTTTGGGGGTCTTTCCACATGTTGTACCCTCTGTCTAAAACATTTTTCACTCTCTCTTCACGCAAACCAACTGCCTCCCTTTGTCCCTACCACCCCCCACACACACACACACACTCTGTTGGTTTGTTCTTTGGAGAATGCTAACACATCACTTTTACTTACAATTGCTTGTAATTTTTTTTTACCTCCCCCTATTCCCATCCCACTTGATTATAAGCTCCTTAAGAGAAAGAATTTAAACTGCATTACTCATTTTTATGTCTTTCATAGCTGGCACAGTGTGTACCGTAGCTTAATATGTTGAAGGAAAAAATAATTCAAATATAGCCTACATTAAGTCAAAGGCCTCATATTTAAAAATAAAATGAATAATATAGATTTATGATACATGGTATGACATTTACAAACAGCAAATACATGTTTTAAAGGATGGATTAAGAATTTCCATTCTGTTTATTTTCTGGAATGCACTTACAAAGGGTAGGTGCACTTTTCTGTCGTGAGGTCACCTTTGTGACTTAAAGTTCTATGCAAAAAGTAATTTTGAGATTGATGCCAATTCTCTAAAGCCAAATTGGCCCCAGGGTGACTTAAGGGACATTTCTCCAAATATAAGATAACAAAAGTTAATTACAATTTGTTAACGTTCTCCACCTTAGTAAGGCCTTAAGCCCAAGTTAGTTCCAGGGATGGCTGGCTCCGAAGTCAGGGACACATTTTTCCTCTGGTTCCTGAAAAAGCTTTCTGTTCACAACTTCAGATGCCAGGTTATCATTTGGCCCTGTCGTTATCTTCATCATTCTGATAACGAACTTTTCTTTTATCCTTTGACCTTGGATAGAGGTCATAAGTACACCAGACAAGTAACTAGAACTTTTATTTGTATGGTAACATGTAAGCTTAAATTCTTTCCTATGATCTCTTCATTTCACAGCACTGATAAAGCTGGAGAGAAATACTGCATTGCTAAATTATAGATTCAATTTGATCACTCTCCAAATTAGTAATCTTTCTCCTTCAGTCAGGAGTTTTTGGTATCAGCTAAACTAACTTACTGATGATGTATTAATCATTTCAAGCAACAGTATTTCTTGAAATATAACTTGGTTTTGATGTTGGCTTTTTAACAAGGGGATAGTATTTGTTCGTGTTTACTCTTTTTGTGCTTTTTGAAGAATCACATAAAAATCACGTTTTGTCATTGGGACATTGCTGTGGTTTGGATAAGAGTCCCCCAAAGGCCCGTGCATTAAAGGCTCAGTCCCAAGACTGGTGCTATTGATAGGTTGTAGGATCTCCAAGAAACGGTGCTTCATGGGCCATCTTCTACGCACAGGAACACACTCTGGAAGGATTTGAGAGCCCCAGCCTTCTTTCTTCCTCTCTTTCACTTCTGGCCCTGAGTGAGGGTTTCTTCTGCCACAAGCTTGCACCATCATGTTCTGCCTCACTGCAGGCCCAAAAGCAACGGGCCAACTACCAGGGACTGAAACCTCCCAGACTGTGAGCCAAAAGAGGCCAAAAGAATGAAAGAGGGAGGGTGTTCCCTCTTTTCAAGTTGATTATCTCAGATATTTTGTTGCAGTAACAGAAAGATAACACAGAGATTTCACTAGTACAGGTCATGGGGCATAAGACTGTACAGTTAAAGAAAAAGCATAGTCCACTCAACAACCTCAGTCACTTCAGGTCCAGATGACAGAGCAAGCGAGGAAGAGAGACACTCCCTTAGGGAAGAGTCAGGGAAAGTGTGCACACCATCCTCCAGTCCACCCTGGAGACTGGAGAACCGTCCAGCTTTCTGTGAAGTGGAACCCCAGTTCAAATACCAGCTCTAACTCTTATTAGCACTGTGAGCTCAAGGCAAGTTATTTAACTGTTTACCATCTGTATTACAAATTGTTGCATAAAATATGTACAAAGGTTTAGCACGGTGCTAGCCTCCAGTAAGAATTCAATAATTGGCAGCTATCTCCAGGTGAAGTTAATGTAGCAAGTACAGCCAAGAGCAAATGACAGCAGTGCTCTGTCCAATTATTGCCAGGGAGTTCCTCAAGCCTAATTTCTCAGCTGCCTGCAGCCTGGCTCACTCCTCAGAATAAGAATGATCTTCTCTGGTAGCAGATGAGGCTCTCTCTATATTTGTGACATTCACCAAAAGCATATTCTCAGGCAAATAGTAGAGATCACAACGAGATTTCAGTAAGAGAGACTCTTGAGATGACAACCCACTGACAACTCTACTCCACTGCAACCACCATAGGGTGAACAACTGTCCTGATTTGTTCTGGACTGAGAAGTTTCCCGGGTCGTGGACTTTCACTGCTAAAACCAGGAAGGTCCCAGGTTGGTCACTCTGCCAGCATCTTCTCAAAGTTGAGCACAAGTTGTGGTACATGCAGCCTGAACAGGTGGCATTATGTGATTCATCATTACAGTGACTGAAACTTTGCAATTAAAATTTCTTTACCTGTAATATTGAATATTAAAATGAAGAATTCCATTTTACTTTGCCCAGACTGTTAAATACTTGAGAAGCTTTTTCTTAATTTTCTCTCAGTCACTCTTCTCTCACTCTCTTCTTTCTACCCAGACTGGGTGCCCCATGAAGTTCATAATGGCCCATCCCATAGAGTATTATACTAATTCCCATTTGAAGCAATTATCTCACTGTGACTCTCAGAAACTCTTAAGAAATTATTTCTGAAATAACTAATTAACCCCAGCAGAAATAAGAATGGAGAATGCAAAGAAATAAACAAACAAAACTGAACAAGGTATACGTTACAGATTACTTTTCAATACAAGAAATTCTCTTCTCTAGTAGACATTATCCAAAATACCCACTTCCAAGGCTATAAAAAATATACTATTGACCTTGCTTCTCTTAATTACTGTGGAGCAATAAAGGATTTGCAACTAGGTAGTTTCCTTTATACATTCCATACACAACTGGTTGGGCATGAAATAAAAAGTGTCTTATACTTTGAGGAATGCTAACAGCAGCAGTAAAAGTTACAATTTTGGAATTATTGATTACTATGATTATATTAATCAGTATTATCTCAAGTTTCTATCTCCTGGCCTAAAAAAATTAAGAAATCACCTTTTCTGTATCCCCATTTACCACCTGGCTACTGTCCTTTGTAATCTTTTCCTGTTCTGCAGATGCTAGGACCTCCCCTCTCCCACTTCCCTTGCAATCTTTCCCTCCTCATCTGTGTCTTGTACCATTGCTCACTGACTCAGGTGAACTTAGAGCCGAGGCAAAACTGCGAACCAAAAAGCTTTTCTCCATCTTTTCCTTCTTTCTCCAGCTCCTGGAGTGACTAAATATTGCTGATAATGTTCTCTGCTCACTAACACTTACATCATCCTGACTTGGGACCCACAGCTCAAGAACTTAGTTTCTCTCAGTCAAGAACATTCTGGAACAACTTTGGATGGAAAGTAGATCCCATTTAATTTGGACTTTATTAACTTAGGATATGGCAAATGAATAACACTTTTAGCCAAAATATACCCTTTATTCAATTATAAAGTTTGTTGATCCAATTGACAATACAATGGTAAGTAAAAATGTTCATACTACTTTACATATAATGTAAAATCTTATAGATAAGAAATACATTGTAATATATTTAATATATAACTTCTTTTTTCTTTTTTTTTTTTTTGGTACTGGGAAACGAACTTGGGTTCTTGCACTTGTGAGGCAGGCGGCGAAATCACTGAGCTAAATCCCCAGCCCAATATATAACTTCTTATAAGTTAGGAAGAAGTAATTTTTTAAAGCATTGACAATATTGTTTTTATCTTTATTTCCAAATGTTTCACAGTTTTACCAAATATGATTTGCTGGATCATTGGTAAAAATAAATCAAAATTGTCATGTGTATATAAACATTTAAGAAACAGTATTACTAGTAAAATATGATACATTCATTAATTCTTTTATTGTTAGCCTACTATTCCACAGATCTTCAATGCTTTCAGTCTTACGGAATCAATCCCAAAGAAAGTAGAAAATAAAACTATTAGCAAATAAGGCTATGTTGTTTAGAGAATTAATTTTTTCAGCAAGACTCGCTTTCCTGATTTCATACCACCAATTGACAATTTGATAACATTACCCTAAAATTACTGTTTAAGAAGTCATATTAGAAATTAAATGACAAGTTTTCATTTAGTCTGCCATGAAAACATTTTTGTTATGACAAATTTATCTACACTGATGAGATGTTAATTCAAGACAAAGTAAAATTTTTAAAAGAATTATTTGACTTTGGACATTGTACCAATACATGGAAATTTCAGTCAGATTTTCCTCCAAGAAACTGGAAATAAGGTAAAAGTAGCCTGTTCTCTGAGAGTTAAACTTTAAGGTCACATACAATAGATAAGAGTAGAAATAAGCAAAGTCAGTTTTGAAACACAAACTGGCCTGACTTAACTGTACCTTGATTTTTATGGAAAGAACATTGCTAAGGGGTAGCCATGGAAACAGAGGAAGAACATACAGAGATGCTTCAGGGCTGGTGGCCATCTAAGTACTGTCAAGAAGAGAAGGAGCCTAAATCAAGAGCAGCAGGGCACCCCTATTATATTGGAGATCAGTGTCGAACACTGCAACCACTGAAAATTGAGTACCTATTTCTACCTCAGAACAAAATCGTCCTGTGTAAAAATAATAGAATCAAGAAGACTATATGCAGAGCCGGGGAGTTAGCTCAGTGGTTCCGCCGCCTGCATCACAAGTGCAAGATCCCAAGTTCAATCCTCAGTACCAAAAAGAAAAGAAAACTATACACATATAACTCTACTTGTTCCAGGTATGTGTTCATCAAGCACCTTCTGATGCTGCTTTTGGCTTCCTCAGTGAGTGTGGCTACATAGAAAATGCACTAACTTTGAAGTTACAAGTACTCAGATGCACATATTATAGCTCTTAAAAACTCATAATTCTGTTTGTATATGTTAGTTTCTTGACCTAGGCTAACATAAACTCATTTCAGTGCTGGAGGTGTTCTGTGTTGTATATAAAAGATATTTCAAAACCAGGATATAGTAGACCAGATCCTAAAAAGTTGTGGGAAATTCACCAAAGGACTGTTTCTCTGTCCTGTAGGGCACAGCCTGCAAGTCTTCCCCTGAAAATAATCATACATCAATCAGCCAAGCTTTTCCATTTCAAAGGATCACTAAGGAGCTGGGGGTATAGTAAAGTTCAGCAGTAGAACACCTGAAGAATGTGCAAGGTCTTGGGTTTACTCTTCAGCACAGGAACACACACACACACACACAAGAAAAAATTGAAAAACCCAAAACCAATGATCACCAATAGCTTTTTGAAAGGAGGTGCCTGTGATTTATTTCTCATTCCTATTTCTGTTATGCTAACATCGTTGAAATGACAATCCTATGAACATATACAAATTACTGGTGGGGAAGATCACTTAAACCATGGTAGACGGCAAGGAATCCTTAGATTTAAAATATGCCATACATAGTTTACGAAGTAGATAAATATTATTCATCTACCATACGTTCAGATTTGGGGGGGGGTCCTGAGCATTGAACCCTTTGTATCTGGTAAACAAGCACTCTGCCAGATATTATTATTATAGTTCTTCAATTCCAGATACCCTCATCTCCTGCATTATTCTTCCTAGGTAAGATTCACCCATTCTCCTAGGGTGAATCCTGTCCCTCTTCTGTATAGCCAGCAGTACCAAAAAGTTGGCCACTGCCAGAGAAATCATACAAATAAACTGAATGGTTTATTCTACATCCATAACTACGGAGCTATCTGCAGAGCATGCCAATCCTACTCTGGCCCTAATAGGGTTACTTTTTCTCTCTCTCTGGGATAATTTGAATCTCCACAGCCTCCCTAAACACCATGCCTTCTCAGCTTGGCCCCCTTCTTCACTAGGAACATTCTGTCAAACTGCTGTTTGAATGAGTTTACACATTCACCCACCAAATATAACTTTTCTCATTTTACTGTAGCATACCAATTTGTAATGTGCTCAGTTCAAGAGTCCCCGAAACTTTCCAAATGAAAGCTTCGTCTTGCAGTGATAACTCGGGTTGCAGGAAACCTCTCTTTCCAGTAGGAGGCACCGTCGCCTTCCGCTGGGGTGGCGCCGCCGCCGAGGCTTCACGTGACCCGGCCGCCTCTGCGCCGGTGGGCGGTCCTGCAGAGATTTGCTTTACGTACGTAGCGTCATGACGTAGTACGTAAGGGCTGGCTGGCCGCCATCTTGCTTCTTTTTCTCGCTTGTGCTCACCTTCTGGGAAAGCGGAGAAAGTGCTTTGGCGGTTTGTCCGTCCGCAGCTTCGAATTTCCCAGCCCGGTGGGCTTTCGAGCCATCCCTCTAATCCCAACTTCCCCTTCCCCTGATCAGACCTCGGTGAAACTGTCGAAGTACGCAAACTGGACACCCTGGCGGGTAAGGAAAGCGAGGGCTTCGGGGCCCCGATCAAAGAGGGCCCCATCGGAAAGGGCCGGCGTGCGGCGGCCTGGGGCAGGAGAGCGGGGCCGAGCATCTCCTTTCTGTTTAGTTACCGTCTGCTCCGTGTCTGGGGAAGTCGGCCTGCGCTCCGCAGCGGGAAACGAACGGACCCTCCCCATGTGGTTTGCAGCGGGGAGTTGTGGCCGGTGGGTCCCCCCCAATCCAGTCCCCAGCCCGGCCCTGCGGCGCGATCGTGCGCGGTGCCCGGTGGGCGAGGGGAGTTTCCATCCCTCCGGACTGCGGGCGCGCGGGGTCCCCCCCTCCTTAGTGTAGTTTAGTTTGCGACCCTCAAACGACCCAAGGGCCCAGCCGGGGCCTTTATGTTTATGTGTTCGTATATAGTAATGGTAGGATTTGCAGTGAGCAATAAATGAGAGTCTGGCTTAAAGACCTAAAATTCTGTGAGGCTCTTCGGGGAATCTGGACCAACTCTACTTCCGCTAGGAACGTGCTGCCCAGTTCCATTGGAGCAACTGGATAGTCCTTTCTCACGCTAGGCCGCTAGCCACATCCCCTCATCTGCGTGGTGAGTCCCCCTCAGCTGCTCCCAGTTTTTGAGATAGTATTAGCATTATTGGTGTTAGAATGAAGGCCCCACTTTAGAATGGAAATAAAGGGCATGGGGACCAGAAAGGACCACGATAATCGAGGGTTGTTAACTTTGCCCAAGAGCTCTTGTCATTACTCTCAAAGAATATGTATTTGTTTTGACTTGACTTTAAGAGCTTTTGAGTGACGGACCTACTTAACGTTTGCTGGCTCCTGGAGCTGCCTCGATTTCCGCATCGGCCGGTCTTCAGCTTAGATTCGTAGATTTATACCTCGGCAGGGTACTTGGAATCGTACAGTAGGCGGCTCTGCTGAAAATTTTTCATTTGGAATGCACCAGAAGAATCGGAAAAATCTTGATTAAGGGCTTGATAGGCTAGTCCTGCAAATAAAAATATCGGGGTGATTTGAGCGCCTACCAAGTCTAACTCCAGCATTTAAAAATAAAGGTTTAACCTCCCATGTTGGTAATTATGATGCTACTTGCACTGCAGCCATTTTTAGGTGTGTGTCACAGATGTACCGCATCATCTTTGAGCTTCACCCCAAATGCAGTGATACCCCCCCCCCCAAATGAGGAATAGATTGAACTTTAGTTTTGTCTTTAGCGTATAATCGAATAATAATTCTCTAAAAATGAAATATCAGAGTGCGGGCTTTTTAAGTTTGAGGGGGGCGGTATAAACCTGTATGTGTGGCTGTTAGTTAACCTACGTTGTACGTACAGTAGTAAGTCCTTTATATACGTTATCTTTTTTAAAAATTCCTAGAAATCTTCTAGGGAGACGCTCTTAATCCTCATTTTACAGATGAGGAAATGAAATCTGAGAGATTAATTTGACCGAGGTCACACAGCAGTGATTAATTGGTGGTACAGTACTGAATTCAGACCCGTCGTACTGTTTAAACCCAGAGGGGATGCTGTAAATCATCAAACTGCTTCCTTGTTCCTTGTAATTCTGTATTCTTTAGTAACTAAGTAAAATACAGCACTATTAACTGATACTTTTTCTTTACCTTGAGGTCAGTATATGAACACTATTGCATGTGAAGGTTACAGTGTTGCAGGTGTAAAAATGAATTACGTCTACTTTGTGGGTGGGATAGACGCTAATTTCTTGTGTCCTTTACTATTTAAAGTACAGTGAAGGCTTCAGATGACTTTGTATTACCACAGATACAACTTTTAAATTTTAAGATGTTAGGGGCTGGGAATTTAGCTCAGGGGTTCCGCCGCCTGCCTCGCAAATGCAAGGTCCTGACTTCGATCCCCGTTACCAAAAAAAAAAAAATTTATGATGTTATTGTAGACTATTTCCTCACCTTTAAAATGGAGATGCTAGTAATAGCATCTCTTTAAGGCATACTATGTATGGAATTTTAAGGTATATGTGAAAGGACCTAGTACATTTTAAAAAGCCTAGTGCCTTTTATTATTGTGCCTAGTACATTTTAAAAGGCCAACTAATGACGGAGGGAGAAAAGTAGAATACCATATTGGTAGAACAGAATACTCATAAAAGCAATATGTAATCTGCATTTTCAGAATGGCATATATCTTGGGGGGAGTACTTAAATAATTTTTCTTTTTCTTTTTTTTTCCTTCTACCTCTCTCTTTACCTACTGGATTTTATTTGTAAAAGATTTCTTCATGCTGTATAGAAAGGATCACTTAAGAGCAGTATCTTGCTGAAAATAAAAAAAGCAGAATTTCTGTCTCACTCCAGTCCCCCATCCTCTCTCTACTCCTACCTTTCTGGTAAAATCTTTGAAGTTTGTATTATGTTCCTGAGTGTACCCCAGCACTGCTTTCGTTTCTATCTCAGGTAACTTACGCTATTTATGTCATACCATGGTCAACAAAAATTGATCATTGATAAAATTTGTAAAATAAATTTACATAAGTTTGTACAGAACTGTATTCTTAAAGGAGATCCAATGTTGAATCTGAGTTATGACTAACATAATTTCATTTCAGAAAGAGTTATCACCTTTTGAATAGGGTCATGCAGTGAAAATTTATCAGTCTGTTAATTCTTGGTTAGAAAGTTAATGTTACTTTTCTGAGTCATCACATTTAAATTCCCCAATAATACCATTGGTACTTCACTCAAAACATCTTTGTGGATGAAAGTATTTGCTGAAGGGTAACTTCAATAAATTGTCTATTGTGCTTTCCCCCTTATAAAAGCTAAGTATAAACCTATCTTTTTGCCAGTTGTATTCCTAGTCCTTTATTTTGCTCTACATTAGCAGAATGCCAGTCATGTCATTTTGAGCTAGTGTCTTTCTGTATTTGCTGACCTCTCAGATGAGAGGTATTAACTGAGTTTCAACAGAAAACTTGTTTGGCAGACTGCCTTAAGAATCTGAAAATATTTCTGCCTGTATGTTGTACTCACCCCTGTGTGGTGTTTCCAGTTACTAAACATAAAAGAAGGATGGGATGTAGTTAGCATTTGTAGAGCACATCTCTGGTAAAGAAACACTGTTGGGTATTATGTATGTTGTGTGTTATCTAATTTTTTTTTTACTTTCTGTGTTTCCTTATTTGTCTTTTTCTTTACTAGACTGTTTTCATGTCCTCATCACCTTGTATGCAGTTGGGATATCTAAAGACATTATTGAGTGAGTCAGGGTTAGAAGCACAAAAGAACAGATGCATGACTAAGGTTAACTGACCAAAGGAATATTTCTCAGTCTCCTCAGCCCTTTATTTACCCATTAGAATTGTGTCAAGAGAACCTTCTAAGAGTTTGTGTTTCTGTAATATGCTTTGAGATTTATTTGCATCAGATTTTCCTTAATTTTTAGTTTTACTCAACAAACATTAAAGATTCTTTTAGTTTTGTAAAGCCTAGTGAATTAGAGGAATATAGCTTTTGATTACCACTGCCAAGATGTTCACAGTCTTAAGGATTAATATTAAAAATTATCTTGGGACTGGGGATATAATTCAGTGATAAAGTCCTTGCCTAATATACATGAGAGTCTGGGTTTGATCCCCAGAACCACCAAAAAAAAAGTGTGTGTGTGTGTGTGTGTGTTTGGTCTTTGGATTCATGCCAGAAGCTGAAAACAGGTGTGTAAGAAGGTAAGGGAAGTTTGATGCAGAAAGTCCACACAGAAAAAATACCTATTGTACCAGTTGAACACCTAGTTGGTTATAAGTAAAGGCATGATGACTAAGAGAGATCAAGAATTTTTATAATTGGATGTAGCTTAATGGTAGATTGCTTGCCTACCATGAGCAAGGCCCAAGTACTGCCAAAAAAGAATTGGTAATCTTTGATATTTGTTTAATACTTAACTGTACCAAGCATTGAGCTAAGACTATTTTGGGGAGTATCTCTTTCTATACTGTGATAGGTCTGGGAGGTGTTTTATTTTATCCCCACTGTACTATTAGAAAACTGAGAATTAAATAGATGTAAGTAGTAATTTGTTCATAGTTACTTAACTAGTAATTGATAACGATGGGATTTGAATCATTGACCCAGAGCCCTAGTACTTAACCTTCGTAGGTTTCCTAGCGGTATTTCCCAAACTAAAGTGAGTCACAATTTTTGCCTTATCTTCAAACTGTCTGACTGTTAATTAATATTTTACCTTAATTCAACTTGCTGGTTTTTTGGTTGGTTGGTTGGTTGGTTGGTTGGTTGGTTGATTTTTTGGGTGGTTTTTGTTTGTTTTGTTTTTATGTTTGAGACAGGGTCTCACTGTGCAATTCAGGCTGCCCTTGAACTCACTAACATAGCCCAGGCTTGCCTCAGCTCATGGCAATCCTCCTGACTCCTGAGTGCTGGGATTACAGGTGTGCACCACCTTGCCAGGCTCAACTTGCTGTTTTTTAATTAAGTGTATGTAAAATAAAAATTTTATATAATTCACATAATTTGTTATTAGCTTTTCCACCCTCCTTTCTAATGTGTTTTAAAATAAACACATAATCTTATGCTCTTTTATAGACCACTTAAAATCATCTAATATATCACCAGGCCTTTTCATTCTACCCTTTGGGACGTTACTCCTTTAAGAAATAAATGCTGCATAAAAATCAGGCAGTGGTTGCAGTTAATGAAGGCCAGAAATAATGAATGTCTAGAATGGAATAGATTCATCAAACAAATGGCAGCGTTACAGATATAGAGATATAAATTACAATCTTAACTATATACTTGGGACAACCATTTCCATGATACCCTGCAAGGAAGTAGGTTTATTTGGATGAAGAAATAGGATGTCAGGGTAATCTATGACAAGAGAATAAAAATGAATAAGTGAATAAGTCACTACAGAAATCCAGGCCAAAAAAATTAATCTGAAAATAGGATTATCAGAGCCAAATGTTGTAGAGATCAGAAAAATGAGAAGCAGCCTTTGAATTTGGCTGAGAGATCCTTGATAACCCTAAAAGAATTTAGGTCAAGGGCCAGGGATTTGGCTCAGTGGTTCTGCTGCCGGTCTCACAAGTGCAAGGTCCTGAGTTCAATCACTGGTACCAAAAAAAAAAAAATTTGGGAGACTGGAGAAATGGTCACTAAAGAACAAAGAGCTTTGAAGTTTCTACTAAGATGGATTAAGTAGTTAAGCAAGTAGAGAATTAAAGTTTTTCCTTTTTTTTCTTTCTTTTTTTGGTATTGGGAATTGAATTTGGGACCTTGCGCTTTTGAGGCTGGTGGTGGAACCACTGAGCTAAATCCCCTGGCCCTTTTTCTAATGTATTTTAAAGATAAGTATTATAGCTTATTTTTAGTGAACGTGAAATAATAAATACTATATATACATCATTTATCAAATGTCAAAGACTAGCGAATATATGAATAAAATTATAATACACTATTCACTTACAATTTTTGAGTTTTAATTAAAATTTAGAGTTTCAGCAATATGGCACTTGTAGCTTGGTCTGTATTTTAAGTAACTTTTCGGTGTTAGGTTCAAATTAATAGATCTTAATTGAGGAAGCACAATGTGGGAGGTATGGAATTACTTCTGAAAATTGGGGAAATGGAACAGAGAGAGAAATTTTAGTTTCAAAACAGGAAAAAGATATTGAGAGGAGGCTGTTGACAGAGGCGAAGGTTAATTATATTGATACATGTCTTTAAATTTATATTAAGAAAATTGGAGTTTTCTGTGTATTTCTGTGTTTTAATACATACAGACTTATGTAGCTCCCACCACAGTTCAGATTCTGCTTGTAAAAAGACAAAATATCTCCCAACTATAGACAAGAATTTTCTTAACATTTTGAAGGCAAGGAAAGTGTTTTTTGTGATGAGCTGTTTAACAAAAATGGGAAAAGCCAAACATTTTCTGCATGTGCTGATTGGTTTTGAGTAGAAAGAAAAAAATAATGTAGTTATATTTATGTTCAACTTGAACATGGGAAGAATGAAAGTAGAGAGTGAGAATAAGGGTTAAGTTTAGTATGTCTGAAGCCAAGCATGCCAGTGGTAGAGAAATGAAATTAATGACTGGGTGAAAGGGATTCTTTAGACCTTGAGCCAGGCATGGGGGCACACCCCTATAATCCCAGCTCTGGAGGCCAAGGCAGAGAATTGCCTTGGTTTGAGGCCAGCCCAAACTACCTGGCAAGACCCTGTCTCAAACAACAAAACAATCCAACCTTAAAGGTAATCCTTTA